TGTTATATCTACCTATAAACTCACTCAAATTCTACCTCCATCTAATTCTCCATTCTTTTCTCCAGTCACTGCCAAATCTACTCTTTGGAAGCTATCTGTATGCAAATACAAGTATTCATTTAGTAAAAATTATGGAAAAGATATAACAGTGTATATATTTTTTAAATAAGTATGTATACAAATGCAGACAACAATCATTAGTGAACTGGGACTGAATCTTGTAGAGCAGGACCGAAATCACAGGTGAGACCCATCCTGCAGCTGGAGGCTGGATTTACCATTCCATACACGCTGTTTACTGAGAGTGCAGACAGAACTCATTAGCACATACAAAAGGTGTTCCACTCCCCTGGGCTACAGTTTGATACAAAGTCAATAACCACAGAGGAGGAATCTAACATGTGGAGCAGATGCAAGCCTTTTTCTTTTTTTCTTTTAAACTTATAAATATGAGCAAATGGCTCTTACACATTTGTTAAAAACTTACTAGACGGCGCTAAACTTACTCTAGGATTCATAAATCTAGTAGTTAATCAGGAATAATGATCTGTCAGAAAAAATGGAAAAATCCATTCTTCTAACTAAAGCAACTGCTCCGTGTTCCTCTAGGACTGGGAGAGTCCACTGAAGCACACCATGGACTATTGCTCTTTGTGAGTTTATCTTTGGAAATCTGCTTTAATGTTTGCTTTTGACTCCTCCCATACATAGTTTTTAAAAAGCAATGTCATGGTTTAATGCGCCATCTCCTACTGATGGAATTAACTTACACAAAAGACCCATATTTTAAAAAGTCTCTCACAATGTCCAGAGACTAAATCTCAGACTAGTTCTGAAAATGAGTGAGGAAATGGTTTATGTCACGTGGGGTAGACAGTATGGAATAAAGGGGGAGAAAGACCAGGAATTTATCTGTAGCCACAAAATCTTATATCAGGGCATACATATTGAATCAGAATATAATTTACTTGTCTCCCATCAAAGTGAGGCTGATTTTATCCCACACCATCAAGAGACAATGACACCCTGAGTGCAGCCTCACTGAGTCCCAGAGCTGCCCTCAGAGTGAGTCAAAGTAGAGCTCACAGCATGGCCAGATCCACAGCAAATCCCTCTTCTCATCAGAGCTGCTCTAGAACTACATTTGTCCTCCATTTGCCTGGAGTGCTTTTTTAAAATAGTGCTAACATAAATAAGATTCTAGTTTTCAAAACGATCTATGTATAAAGGACCATTTCCCAACACACTACCCCCTAGTAATGACATCATAGATGACTATCTTTTATGGCAAAATGGAGAATGCATAAAGAATAGATGTCACCATGAGAAGTTGCTCCTACTGCCTATTATTCAGCTGACCTCTGTGGATGGAACACAGTCCTCAGGATTCAAGAGAGTTTGCTCAAGTTTATTATTCTACTTGCAAGTGTTTATAAATGGTTACCTCTGTGCTAAGGATGGAGGTCTAGTAGGCCCAAACAACTAAACTGAGAGCAACACTGCCCCCACAGAGCAATGAGAGGGTAGAGAGGCAACAGGATTCAGGGCAGGAAGTGGATAATACATAAAAATATTTATATAATGAAGAAAAAGCAGACTTTCGTCCCATCTCACCTGCCATCAGGCTAGACCAGCAATTTTCAACCGGCGTCACACCAGTGTACACCAAGAATTTTTAAAACATGCAATACCTGACCATTTAGTCAGGGGCACTGACCTCTTTTCCCTTAGATTGTCAAATAAAAAAATGACTACAGCCAACACGAAAACAGCCATCTGATGTGAATGAATCAAAATGATACCACTTTTTTTTGTCAGGTCAACAAAAAATATTTTTTTGGTGTGCAGCAAAATTTTAGAATTAGCTTATGTGTGCCATGGGATGAAAAAGGTTGAAAATCATGGGGCTAGATGACTGTGAACAGTTTTCCTTAAAATAGGATAAAACTTACGTGCCTTTGTTGTTGAGAAGATAAAAAAGACAACTTGTTCAAAGGCCCCAGTCAAATGCCTAACACACAGGGTCATTCAACATATGTTAGCCTTCCATCCCCTACCCCCTTTCCTTCTCCCACTTTCTCCCAATTGCTGAAACCCACAGTGGCTCTTCCATCTGGTTAAAATAACTTGGAAAACTTGACCTTGATACATCCAAACTCCACTGACCTACACAGAGCCACCTACATAAGTTCTCATGGTAACAGATCCGAAGGCTGAGTCAGCCTCTAGAGCTTTCACTCTCCCCATCCAAAGGACAAGTTTTCTCGGGGGACTGTAAGACTTTGATGGAAAAAAAGTCACGGGAACAAGCAGTACAGAGAGAATTTTTCACATGCTGCCCCTCATTAGAAAGTTGCTGCATCATAGCCTTCAACATTGCAGGGGATGTTGCAGAGAGTTCACAAAGGTTTTTGAGCCAAATGTGGGTTCTCACTAAAGCTATACTAGACAGGAGCCTTTCTCTAATAAAACGGAGCATCACCAATTATCAGGAAACTATGCCCCATGGGAAAAAGGAAAGCAGAAGGACCTCACACATGGTCCTGTGGGGAGCTAGGGGTGGGGCAGGTGAGGAAGAATAGCCTTAATAAGGTAAACCAGAAACAGCAGATCGATAAAAATGTTTCTTCCTGTCCACTTCCGTTGGCTTTTTATATAACACTGTGCTGTGAACCTTAAAGAATATGTTACAGGTATGTACGTGTTTTCCCTTTTCTTGTTTAGATGAAAACACCAGGCAGAAATGTGTTTAGTTAGAAGGAAAGAGTAAACATTGTAAATGGGGTAAAAACAGGGTTATATAGCCAAACTGAGTTTTAAATTTTATTTGTATTTTTTTCTTTTAAATTTTTGCACATGCTTATATTTCTAAGCTGTTGTCAAGAATCAATAAACTGATCTGAGTGCTTCGCATTCTCATGGAATAGATCATTTATTAATGTTTATATTGGACTTTACAGTGCTCAAAGCACTGTCTCAGATGATGTCTATTAGATCCTAATAGTAAGACAGGTATTATTATCCCTACTTTTATTTAACAAACAAGGAAATTGAGCTATTAAGTGATTTTTCCCCCAGGGTCTTACAGCTAGTGAGCATTAGGACTCAAACCCAGGTCTCCTGATGACAAAGCTGTTCCTCCCACACCAGGTTGCCTCACACTAATTTCTCCCATTACACAGAAGAGCAGTTCTTACCTTCCAACTCTTCTTTCTCATAGTGAATATTGAGAATTGTGCTGGTCCCACCCTGATCCACCACAGCTTCTTCATCTGGTCTCTGTTAAAACATAAATAAGTAGTCATAGTAATACTCATTCATTCATTCATTCATTCATTCATTCATTCAAACATTCAGCACAGTACCCTGTGTCAGACTCTCTATGCAACACTTGGAAGAAAAACACAATGGTTTATATATTTTTAAAATTTGAACCTCACAATAACTTTGAGATGCAAATATGGCAGCCATTCTCTTTCTTATTTTATAAATGAGCAGCCTGGGACTCAGAGAACATTAAATAATTATTGCCCAAGGTCACAAATGGGGTAAAAGCAGAGCTAGGACTGAATCCAAGTCTTATGACGGCCGAATCTCATGCCTTTTCACCTCTGCACTCCATCTATACAACCGTATAACAGGTTGGGATTTTTGTTGTTGTTGTTAATCTTCAGTGGAGGATATTTTTTCCATTGATTTTTTAGAGAGGGTAGGAGGGAGGGAGGAGAGAGGAGAGAGAGAGAGAAACATCGATGAGAGAGAGACACATCAATTGGTTGCCTGGCTGACACTCTAACCACTGGGCAACACCGGCCAGGGCCAGGTTGGCATTTTGTAAGTGGTGTCAACCACATTGTCTCATTTGGTGTAAATTGGTCTCCTTGACCTCTGCAGCATTTAAACCTGTTTAACACTATATCCTTGAAATTCTCCATCCTGCTCCCTGACCAAATCTTCTTTGCCTCATCCTAAGGCTCATCTTCTTCCTCTGAATATAACTCCCAAGAAAGAGCTGTCTACCTTTTGTTTCCCTCACTTGAGTATTACAATTTCAACAGCACCCTAAACAGTGTGTGGCTCAGTATTTGACAAACCCCTGGAAGGCCACACCTCAAGACTCATGTGTCTAAAACCGAATTAATCTTCCTTCCAAAACTAGCAGCCTGTGCTCATTTCCTTACTCCTTCCTATGGCACCATCATTTCTTAGTCCACATTTGAAATTTCAAATGTATTTAGTCATCCGTTCCATATATATTGAATGCCAATTATATGCCTTCAGGAAAACAGTTCTCTTTTCTTATCAAGATCTCTTTTGCAATTTCCCTCGAATTTACTCTCATCTCACATCCACTCTATCCCATATTCTCCAATACTTTTAGTCACACTGGACATTTTTTTTTCTGTTCTAGAACCATACTCACTTTCTTCCCTACTACGGCCTACTACTCTCACCCCGCCACCAGCAACTAATACTTATTCATCATCCCATATATCTCAGTCTAAATGCACTTCCTTGGAAGACTTCCCTGACTACCACTCTTCTAAACTAAGCTAGGCCCCCCCATTTTTATGCCTTCATATCACACTGTACTTCTTCTTAGTAAAGAAATGTCTCTGCTTCTGAAGGAAGGGACCACATCTGTCTTCCTCACCGCTGTTTCCCCAGCACTCTGCACAGACTTCACATAGTGGGTGATCAATAAATCTTTGTTAAAAGAATGAATATAGCCCTAGCTGGTCTGGCTCAGTGGTGAAAGTGTTGACCCACGGACTGAAGGGTCCCAGGTTTGATTCCCGTCAAGGGCATGTACCTTGGTTGCAGATTCCATCCCTGACCCCTGTTGGGGCATGTGCGGGAGGCAACCAATCGATGTGTCTCTCCCACATCCATATCTCTCTCTCTCTCTCTCTCCCCCGCCCCCTTCCACTCTCTTTGAAAAGCAGTGGAAAAAATACCCTTGGGTGAGGATTAAAAAAAAAAAGAATGAATATAATGGCACCTACTTTATCAAGACCATCACCATACCCTGAATTACTTCAAAAAATATCTTAACTGATCTCCCTGCTAGTCTATTTCCTTTACCAAGCCTGCAGCTCCAGTCAGGCTTACTGATCCCACAGGCACTGTGCACATTCCCACCTTCATGCCTTTGCTCTCACTATCCCTTCACTTAACATTCCTTTTCCCCAACTCTCCAGCACAGCAAATCCTAACCATCCTTCCCGATCCTGCACAAATTTCCATTTTACTGTTCTAACTTTACTATTTTGTAGTTATCATCTATATCCTCCAATAAGGCAACCCTGACTATAAGACAATCCATTTTTCTAAAAAGAAGATTAAAAAAAAAAAAGGTTTTGTAGTCAACTTGAATAAACTTTTAGGGAAGTAGATGAAACACTCAAATGTCTACTTATAGTACTTTATTTACTTAGTTTTATACACATGTTTAAAAGTATATATTACTACCACTAGGTAATAAGCTACAAGATATAATATTAAGTTTAAAAAGTAAGGTGGAAAAAACTGTATAATTTTTGTCTAAGAAAGGGTTTTGGACTATAAGCATCTGCTTATAATTAAAAATACATAAAGGAAGAATAAGCAATAAAACATGTTTTTATTTTTTAATTTTCTTAGTTCATCTGGAGTTGTCTATTGGTTCAGAGAGAAAAACCAACCCATTATATAGTTACCTACTGAGGGAGGGAGGGCATCTAGGAAAGGAGACAAGGATAGAAACTAAAATTCTGTGAACATACTTTTATTTTATATATATTTTACACAACTTCAAAACAAAATTAAGAATTTAAAAAGCAATTCCCAGAAATCAAAAACAAAATAAAAACAAATGCCAAATTGATGGCATAACTATTCCAAGAGAAATTATTCCAAGTAACTTTAAAACATAATAAATTGAGTATCCTTCCTGGGATATATCCTAAGGACAAAAAGAACTGAAAAAGATCCTAAATTGCTTTTTGGTTACTATATTGTTGGTTGTAGTGATGTTATTGTTCTGAGACTGTTGCGTATTGTGGGATGAATCAAATAATTATGTGAACTTTTTCTGTTACTCTCAATGTGACTGTGAACTGGGATTCTCAGCAGGGGTAAAAGGAGAAACAGTTGTAAGATAGAAGGTAAGTAAAGAGCAGTGCAGTTCTGAATGTGAATTGAAGTATCAATAAGAATATATGACATATTTTTATCTGTAAGTATTTTTAAATCTATAAATTTATATTTTCTAGCTCTGTCCATTCAAAAGCCCTAGAAAAAATGGCCAGCCAATAGCAATGAGTATCATTAGCACCTAGACTATGGTCTCTTAAAGTGCTATTTTCCACTAAAAGGCACTCAAAGACAGCTAGGGTCCTGTCCAAAGGACTCGACAGCCAACTTAAAGAGGTCCCTTGCCAAAAACAGGACAATGTAAGCACCAGTAAGGGTAATAACTGCACCAGACTGGATATATCAAATACATACATTAAAATCCACGAGTTCAAAATGCCACGTTGAAAATGAACTAGTTGGTCAACATAAAGTTCATGCTAATAAACTGATTGCTTTGAAAACTGTTAAAAATTAATCCCAGTTTACCTATATAAAATGTACCACAGAGTAGATGAGACAAGTTTCTCATTACAAAAAAGATTAAATGGAAAGGAGTGTTAGAATTAGAACACTGCCATTTTGCAGTCCAAATGGACTGCACTGATCTTCAACAGCCACCAACATCACACAGAGGGAGACAACCAGACATTACATGCCTCCTAAAAGGAGACCTTATCACCACCCATAAGGCAATCTTACCAAATAAATTGTCTCTGAATCTGATCAAACCTCTAAATCCAAATACCAATTTACTGAAAATACAATGAATCAGAGCTCCACGGAAAAACATCACCACGGGAATACGATCAGCAAAATCCAGACTGTGGGAAACTATATAGAACAAATCCCCCCCGACCCCCTTTTTAAAAATAAATAACTGAAAGAAGAAAGAGAGACAGACAGACAGACAGAGGAAGAGGAAGGTGAAACCAACAGGTTAAGAGACAACGAGCCAACCAAAATGTGGATGTTACTTGAATCTTGATTCAAACAAACTAACTGAAATACATTTTTTAGTTATTTTTTAAATACCTTTTTAAAGTTATGACACTTGAGACGATTGGAAATTTGAATATTGACTAGACCTTTTATGATATTAAAGAAATTGTTAGGCCCGGCCGGGCGTGGCTTAGCAGTTGAGTGTTGACCTAGGATCCAGGCAATCGGGGTTAGATTCCCAGTCAGGGCACATGCCCAGTTGCGGGCTTGATCAACGACTCTCTCATCATTGATGTTTCTATCTCTCTCTCTCTCCCTCTCCTTTCCTATCTCTGAAATCAATAAAGATATGTTTTAAAAAAAAAAAGAACTGCCCAGCAGCAATAAAAGCTAAATAAAAATAAAAAAAGAAACTGTTAGTGTTTCTCTAGGTGGTACTGTGCTTATTTTTTAAAGAATGCTTATCTTTTAGTGATACATACTGAAATATTTATGGATAAAGCTGAAAGATTACTGATATGTAAAATAATAAATTAACTTAGAAATATTACTTATTGTCACATTTTATAAATGTTCCTCAAAATCTTCAAATACACCTTTAACATCAATGTCCTCATCACCATAGGTGCTTTGAGTCAATTTTCCAAGCATGTCAGTTTCACTTCCATCCAGGTTGTAAAGACTCTTGTATAAAGTCCTGCCTGAGGAATAACTTCTAGGTAGAAAAAACTTGCCTTTGTTTTAGACTTATTTGTTCACCTAGCTTATGATTAAGATCATGAGTTTCCTGACAGCAGGCGCCACATTCTTTCACCTTTATGTCCTCCCAGAGTCTAATACAGTAGCTTACCATTTTAAGCAGCTTGTTCTCTCTAAGTCCCAGGAGGGTAGGTACTTATATTCACCACTATGTACCTAGCACCCAGTAAAATGTCACATTATGTAGTAAGTATCCAGTAAATTTTGATGAATAAATATTTATTAGTTTTCTGAACTCTTTAAGTCATATAACATATTTTCTCATAATAATTTTTCACATTGGCTTCCCCACAGGTTTGTAATATCCAGAGGGCAAGGACCAGTTAATTTGGATGCTTAAACTGTCTACAGACACCTCACACAGCATAGAACACAGCAGGAATCTGGATGAAGAGGAGAAGGGAGGGATGATTGATTTTTGACTCAAAGACTATGAAAGCAAAATATAAAGAGCAAGGTCAACT